CAGCCACGCAAAGATACCAACCTGGTGCAGCCAGGTGGTACGTCTGTACAAGGTGAGGATGTGACACAGCGTGGAGTCCGCCGTCTCCTCCACTGAGGCTGCTGGCATATTACATACAGCTATGCCTGTTGGACCAGAGAGCAGATAAGGATTAGTAATAGCTTTTTGGGCCATTTGAGGAGAGAGATGAAGTTTGGTGAAAGCTATTCTGGTGGAGAAGTGCAGACTCGAGGCGTGATGTCAGCAGTTTTCTTTACAAACACTGCTGGCAACTTTAAAACGGCACAGCCTCTTGGTGGCAGAAGATAGGGGAAGTTAAAACGCTCTGGCTGTTGCAGGACAGGTTTTAATAAAAAGCCTTACTTCACTTTTTAAATACAAATGTCACTGACTTGTTGCTGACACGGCAGTGCATACTGGCAGCAGAAAGGAAGTGTTTGCGAGACTAGCACTTCATCAGCTGTTGAGCAGCGTTAGAATGTAACATTTACACAAGAACAATTTAAAGGTACTTGTACTTTACCTGAGTATTTCTATTTTATAATTCTTTATACTTAATTTTAAAAAACGGACTAAATTAAGATTATTAATACAAAATACAAATGCACTAAATTACAATATATTTCTTCTTAGATTTAGATTATTTAGATTTAGACAAAGATCTGATTACTTCTTCCACCACTGCTGCTGAGTAATGAGTAAAATGGATGATAGAACTGATTTGTTTCTTATAGCTTGTTGTGTATACTAATCAAAACAGCTAACCAGTGCTATCAGAACATACAGAATATAAGACTTTTTTTCACAGCAGACATTTTTGCTTGCAATTGTAGGAAAACGTGTAACTAATAACATCAAAGACGTCTCTGTGCATTTAGGTGTTAACTAGCCCAGGAAGCATGCTAAGCTTGGCACAGGCAATTATTAATGTTAGCTTTATATGTGTTTGTCAAGTCAAAATGCCCACTGTGAAAATGTTCTGTTGGTAGCTCTGGAGTTGAATAGTGAGTAATTGAAAGTGATATTCGGTTAAACCTGCCATTTTAGTTTGGGATTTTGGAAAGTTGAACTATGAGAGCGAACAAACATTCTGGTTTGAGCTGCCTGAAACTACGTTTCCTGTTGACATAGGAAGTAACTGTGGTTAACAGTAAGGGTAATATGGGGGAGATTGTTCCAAACAAACATGGCTACAATATCTACGTTTAGTTAATACTGGTGGTGACCTTACATAACAAAGTGTAGGCTAAGGCTGTAGCACGGAGCATTGGAAGCACATGATCTACCAGAGAGACACATGGATGAATGGTAGTGTTCTTAACACATAAACAGCAGAGCAGTGTGTGTGTGTGTGTGTGTGTGTGTGTGTGTGTGTGTGTGTGTGTGTGTGTGCGTTGTGTGTGTGTGTGTGTGCTCTCACCCAGTTCCCCGGCAGATTTGATGTCAATATTGTCATAGCCACTGCCAATACGGACAATGATGCGCAGAGCTTTAAACTTTTCCAGGTCCTCTCTCATCAGAGTGATGGTGTGGTACATCAGAGCTCCTACAGCTTCATTCAGCACCTGGGCACGCGCACGCACACACACACACACACACACACACACACACACACACACACACACACACACACACACACACACACACACACACACACAGGCAGGCAGACAGAAAGACAGACAACAGATGGACAGTTTGAGTTATTTAACTCATTGCCAGCAATATGTGTATCCAGACAGCGATACTCACAACTGTCCAAATGTCTATGGACAAGTCATTTAATGTTACCTGACACCCAAATCATGGCTAGAATAACAAGTTAATATTGTGTGGCTCCGATCCACTTTCTTTGTTTCCCCTTTACAGAACTAGGGCACACAAGGAGCAGAAACCTAGCGGACCATGAAGATATATTCTCTGAACTTGAAAAAAGAAAAATTCTATTTGATTTTGAATTGTGTTCACCCTTAAGCTCTGTGCTCACACACCCAGGGATAAAACAGACAATTACACATCATAAAAGTAGGTTTGTTTGAAGAATCACATTGATAGCGCTTTGAATACAGACGTTACATTTGGTAAAGGTCAAGTCATCAGCATGTGTTTGTGTAGGTGTGAGCACAAGTCAAGCATGGCTTCGCAGCAAGTTCACTGAGTTCCCAGTCTGTGTTTTCATAAACTCTATCTCGGTTAAGGTTTTTTTTTCCAGGATATGCTGTTTGTATCGTTGTCATATCCTGTTTTTTAATATCCCTGCCTGCATGGAGTATTACCATGGAAACTACACTTTTATAACCACAGGAATTGAGATAAGGTGTCTCTGCATCTCACAAAAGCTGCCTAACCTCAGGAATATGAGCAGGAATCTTATGGGATTTCTCACTTGCTTCTATTCATCTTTATTGTTTTAATTGAAAATGAAATATTATACCTCAAAAAGCAGAGAACTTGACAATCACATAGAATGGGAATATATGTCTGAAAACAGGTTCAATCAACTTTTAATTGGTTCTCTGTTAATCTTACAATGTTTTTCTAACGTTGCCAGCCCTCCTCTTCATGTGGTAGAGGATGAAAATGACATGCAGTTCACTTACAATAAAGAAGCCCTTTTAATTACACAATGCGGTGGCTGCTTACTAGAGAGCCAGAGAGAGAGAGAGAGAGAGAGAGAGAGAGAGAGAGAGAGAGAGAGAGAGAGAGAGAGAGAGAGAGAGAGCGAGAGCAAGAGATAGAAAGTGAACGAGGGACAGCCATCTGTTTCTCCCACGCTGTGGCCTACTGAGCGTGCTCTCAGAGAGAGTGTGCCTGGCAGACACCCAGAACGAGACGCAACCCTGCCAGACATACAAACCCATTTACAATCCATAGTGGCTGTGGCAAGATCCAAGGCTGACCCACATTTTAAGTTTGCTCTCTGTACTCTTCTTTAGTTTTTTTTTGTTTTTTTTTGCACATCCTTAATGCAGAGCCAATGTTGTTTTAATGTGGCAACTTCTTTTGTGATGAAGGCGCTAACTCTGCTTTCACTAGAACAACAGTGGACTGGCAAAAACACAGAGAATGACTTTGGAGCATTCGCACATCATTGCGAGATGGTTACCCCCATTGCTATCCTTATATTCACATCATTTAAAAAGCCTTTGCTGTGTGTCATCCCCTTTCTCTCCCCCTTTCCTGTCTATCTTCAGCTATTATTGTGTTTGGCATTTGGATACTGTCAGAAGAAATGCCTGATATGTCTGACTCAGTGTCACAATGTTAATTTTTTAAAAACACAGCTAAATGCACTACATAAAATCATGAACATATGTGGCATCAAAGATTTCTGAAAGGATGTTTTGAAGTCGAATATTTGGCTTGGTTCCATCTTTCTTTTTCAACTACCGAAGCCAAAAAAACTCACATATGTGTTATCTGTGCTGACTTGCAAATCAGAGCAAACTACAGGAGATTACAAGGACCGATACATTAATAGAATTTCTAATAGAAGACGACACATGATTGAAATACACCATCAGCCCCCTGTGATTGCTGTTTTTTTGTGTATCAGCTTTAGATTTTGAAGTTCGAGTTTCCAGTTGCGGTGTGGTTATTTTTTCTTTGTATATTGTATATTCAGCCATGATGACCACTGCTGTTCATGTTAACACAGTTCTATTTAATGCAAACTGCTGTCGCTGCTCTCTAAAATATAAAAAAAATACTTCCTGTTTCCAGCACAAGGTGTTTAATAAAGACTATATTTATACAATCTGTTACAGCAAATGTAAAAGCTTAATGGAACTTTCTTAAACCCTTACCTTTGTTGGTTAGTATGATTAATTTAAAATTTGGAATCATTAGTACATGATCTAGTTAAGTGCGTTACCTTCTCGTGGATCTCCTGTGTGGACTGAGCGTCACAGAAGGCCACGGTCGCTACGTCTTTCAGGATGGGCATCTCCACAGTGCAGTCGCGGCCGTCCAGCAGCGCCACCAGAGGTCGCGGGTGCATGGGCCCATTCATGATGGGTGGCCTGATGCCTACACGCACGCAGACACACAGAAGAAAAGTGTCAGATAAGCGAAACAAAAGTGGCGATGAAGAAGTAACATGGAGAGAAAATAATCTTCATTGTGAGAGGCAGTGTAGAATAATCTTTTATTAGCATAATTTCTTATTGTGATGAAACACCTACACAACTGCAATATCCCTCAGAGAACTCAGAAATCCTGTATTGGAAAAAGGTCATTTTTTTCCCCCTGCTGTATATTTTTAAACCTGCAGGCATGTATTTGTTTGCTTGGCCGTATCTTCCAGCATTTCCTCAGTTGTTGTCAGTTATGAAATCTAAAACAAAAGATGTGCTGTTGCTCCTGGGCACAGATGAGGTCCTGCTTTATCTGCATCCCATAATGTTTCTGTTCCGGACTGATGCAGTTGCTATGACAACTGTGACAGTGAGCATGGAGGGGGGAAAAAAATAAATACCCGGCGCAGCTGTCTATCTGCTATAGAGCTAATTCCTGCTGTGGGAGGTCATGATCCACAGCTGTTTTTCACCTTATTGCGTTTGAAGATTTTGTTGTTTTGATTTAATTATTACGCACTTTCTTCACGTTTGCTGACTCTATGGAAACAGGCAGTAATTGGGATGACACATGAGGTAGGCTGGTAGAAAGTGTAGTATAAAGAAAACGTGCACTCAAATGTTCAGAATATCCCTGTAGAATTAAAAATCAGAAGGTGAAAAACACTGTAATAACTAGGAGTATCCTTTTGTATTTCATCCTGTTTAATTAAGTTCTCACATATTCATGATGAATGTAAGTGCTCGCCCCTGTGGACCACTGACAGTGACTCTTATTTGGAAGAAACGGGGCAGTCTAGAGGAGAAAACGTCTGAGCATGCAGTTCGAAGCTCTGGATTATATCTATTATGTAGCATATTTTGCATGAAATAGAATCCTAATTTACAAATACGCAACAAAAATGTCATATTTCATTGCTCAAAAACCATCAAAATGTCACTGATAGTGATACAAGTCAATAGACAGGTGGGTAGGGAGGTACAGCAGTTCTTATGAGGCAGTAGGATCTGTGTCATGAGAGACAGCCAGTGCTTAAAATCTGACAATCTGTCAATAACTGAGTAAAAGTAAGCCCCATCTTCAACCTTTCTACAGGATATTTTATTGGATCAACTGAACAGATTAAACCATTACCCTAAGAGTGCTGCCAGGCTTCACAGGAGGATAAGTGGCATTTAACAAGGCAGATAGACCCCTCTGGTGGTCCTTTGCTCAGATTTAGCAAGAGCAGTGGTCAATGGGAGTTGAATTTATTCGTTTTCCTTAACTATTTCCTCCACTGCACTCTGCCTTGATTTGTTTCTCCTTTCGGGGAACTGAAGGGTTAATCATTCCAGATCACTGACTGAGAACCAAGACATCTGAGAGACAGGCAGATGTAGATTCAGAGGAACATATAAGGCAGTGTATGTAATTGGGTGTCATAGACATGCAAAATTCTGACAGCCCTCTGAAACACTGTAGATGAAATGAGTGCAGAGTTATGCCTGTTTCTGCTGACGCTGACTGTGCTCATCACTCATTCCTGACTTGTTTCCAACTGAGATGTGCAGTCTGACATCCCACATAAGCAGCCACTTCAGTCATTTCAAAATATTCCTCCTAAAACTTTTATTGCGACTCAGACCTCCAGAATGATAAACAGTTCGCATTCCCTCAGGTTTGAGACTGTTTTCCACTTTCCTGGGCTAACATCATGAGAAAGGAGTCAAATCATTAAACCAGTCATTTCAAAATCAGCATTCTACGGACTCCACAATATTTAAATCCCAAGGATCCCTGAGAATCAGACTTGCGGACAGAAGTTTGGCTGCTCCAAACCCACAAATTAGTTTGGAAAATCTGGGCAGGAAAACTGAGTAACACTTTTCCCTCAGCAGCTATCATTACATGGCCTATGAGTGAAATGAATTAAATAAAAAATGCCTGCTGGAATCATACTCATACTAACAGTTCGTATCATTAATCTCTGATTTTTAGTGTTTTCCAGTTGTGTTTTTGTAACGATGTGCAGTTTATGTATACTGTCAATGTAATTGACCTGTTTTCTTCTACTTCAGTTAGTGAGTTCATGTTTCCCAGAATGCCTTTAGGCTGCACAATTAATCTAAATATTATCGAAATCGCAATATGGCCAAGTGCAATATCCAAATAGCTGAAGCTGCAATTAGTTTGATAAAGGTTAAATATGTGACAAAGGAGCATTACAATAAAGTAGTGTACCCTGGTTCTCCGGATGTAAGAAAACAGACCTAAACAAATGTCACATCATCATGATTTTAGTAGTTTTTTTCAATTCAATTTGTGATGCGAAATGATCATTCCCACTAATCGCGAATCATATTGCAATATCTGTCAAAATAATTACAGTATGATATACCATATCATGCAGCCCTTTTGACAATCTTCTTTTTCTCTTCAATTTTCTGGTTTATTAAACCCCTCAAACCATGTTGCATTTGCAACATGTCTTGTGGTTGCAAGTCTCCTGTTATTGGAGACATTTGTGCGTCTGTCTCTTTTGTAATCGATTGATTTCTACTTGTATGACTTTTAAGAATTCGTGCAAAATTGATTAGTGGGACACCAGTGTCTTCTGATTTAAGACATACAGCATCCATGTTTTACACAGCAACATTTTTTATAGATGATAAAAATCATTGTTGTTGCCTGGAAATGTGTTGTGTGTGTCACGTCATCTACTTTTGGCCAGTTTCTAGTTGCTTGTTTGGCATTTTTTGCTTATATCCGCTCTGACTGAGCAGCTCAGTGACCAGAATGTGAGTCCCGTGTTGTACTAGGCATCTCCCAGGAGTGAATAAGTAGAACAGCATGAATGATATAAATAAGAAGTAGGGAGGTACTGAAAATAAGCATTGAATAAACCTCCTTGGATAAATGTAGATGGATGATCTTCCTCTTCCTCGTGTGAAATGCTGTCATAGAAAGTAAACTCTTATCAGGCTTGCAAATGAGGCGGGTTTTTTTTTTAGCCGACTCTCAGGAAGAGTGAGCCAGAGTGCATGCATGGGGAAATAATGTACACAGTGCTTACATGCATTTCTGGTTCATGCTTCAGTGTGCTGCTGTGTTCAGGGTTGGGCTACGACAGGAAACGAGTACTCAGAATCTGTATTTAGAGAACAGAAATTATGTATATGTATTCAGTCTATGTTATATTTTGAAACATCAGCGTTTAGAGTTTGAGGAGAATACTTTGAGAATACATACATAAAAAACATGCATAGGAGCTATTTTTAAACCAGCATGCACATATTTCCTCCTGTATCTATCACACAGCAGTAGAGCAGAGCGTGGGAGCCTATACACAGAGCCATGTTACTGTAACCATGGAATATGTTAGTGAATACATGTAGGAATTCAACTCGGATATTTGCACCAATGGTAGTATGTGTGGTTGGATGTGGTGGTTACATATTGTTTTAGTTTTGGTTGCATGTGGTTTTAAGATGCAGAGTTTGTCCTGCAGCGAGAAATTCACAGGCTTGATCCCATATTATCCTCATTGAGGAACTTGAAACTGAAAGTGCCTGCATTTTCTGATTAAGGCTTCTAGTGTTAGATAAATGTGTAAAACCCTGGTTTCCTGCCTGGTTTTACTTATAACATGTTGTAGTACTGACAACTTGCCTTAATTGAACCTTATTGTGTGAAGATAAAATCACTTCCTATGTGCTTTCACTGTTCAAACTAAATTTAAGGATGATAAAGGGCATTTTTGCAGCAGCACTCAGAAGCTGCAGAAAAGCAAAGCTCCATCACTCAATGCACATGTCTTCTTATCTTCATCATCAGATTGCAGCATGAAACCTGATCTGATGAAGCAGCACAGTAAGACCAATAAGGTGAAACACAAATCCTTTTCACAATGCCTTTTGTGAGCTAGTAAAACATTAACTTTCCATAATAGGATTTGCCTGGAGGACATTGCACTTACACATCAATACAAAATCGATGGTGCATAGCTGAGAAATTGGAATTCAACAACAGCAAAAAGTACTCTCCGGCTTCAACACAACCTTCATTGTAACTCAGATGTAATCATTAGTTGCACCGTTGCCTGTAGGTGCTGCACTCAACAGTATTCTGCCCTACAGACTCATCTTTTCTAAGATTTAATTTGAGCAGAAACCCTCGGGAACAAAGTGCCATTCATAAGATGGCGTGTGTAAATTAAATGGGCATGATGTCCACTTGAAGAAAATAATGAAATCTGGTCAGGCTAATCAGTTGTGCAGCAGAGTTTTTGGAAAGCAGCAGAGATTCCAGACATTGCTCCGGCTCACACTTGGTCAGAGTGAGGGAGGAAATAGCTTTCATTCCAGCACCAAGCATGACCTTGGGAGGACCAGCACTACTGACTGCTGAGTAGTACTACAAGATAAAACACCCGTTCATCCTCTCTCCGTCTCTCCCACACACACAGAAACCTCAGATCAACACTGTAAATAGTAATACACTCTTGAGAACCTAAATCAGACAAACTCAAAAGTCCATTATCTCCCGGTCTGTTTTATTTAATGTATTTTCTCGCTTTCTAGTCACATTAAACACTCATTAAATTCTTCATTATAGTAAATAATTCTTAAACTTTTCTCTCACTCTGCTCAGTTCCTAAACTCTTCAACCTCATCCATCTCTTCTATCTCTATTCTCCCTCTCTTATTATATTCAATACTCTATCCCCCATAGCCCCAGGGTTTGGGTGACAGCTGGGAGCTTTCACAGTGCAAACAGGCCTCTTGACAGCCAACGGGGGCCACAGCTCCAACCGTGGTTGGATTTAAATTCACTACTGTATTTGGTAAACATTTTGAGGCAGTGTTAGTGATTTGCAGCCAAGGCAACATCAAAAATGTTTTGTTGGTAATAATTGTTCTCTAAAATCAGCCATTTGCAATATGTACATAAGGGCCTGGGACACTAAATGACATCCCCCTCCCCAATATGAAAATTACATCCCTCGGAAAATGTGTAATCAAAACAAAATGACGCTAAAGCCGTTTGACTGAAATTTAGAAATGGAAAAAGCATCTGCCAATGACTGCTGGGACTGAATCATGCGAGCCAGTGGGAAAGCCCTGCAGCCTGCCCGTATCCAGCTGTCAATGACCAGCTCACAAGAACAGCTGGATTTTTGTCCCAGAGGAGCGAACCAGTGTTTTCAGACTGTCAGTCAACGAAGACAATGTCAAAGATTGGCGATTTTCATGTGTTTGAAATGTGCAGGTCGCTGACAAGTCTGCCAGCCTCGATACAGAGTGATCTGCCAAAACAAGCTGCAAGTCCCCGACACTCAAGAACCACGACAACGGGGTGTCACAACATACACTCTTAAAACAAGGGGTTTCATTTCCAGAGCATCTGTGGGTCCAGTTTGGTATGGCAAACACTGAAGTATAAAACAACTGTTTTCACTTTGTGAATCGTTTAGTCCAGTGGTTCTCAACCTGGGATCCCTAGGAAAATGGGGAATATTTAAATTTCGTGGGAGCATGAACGCCACCTGTTGTGTTGTGTGGCTCACTATGAGTCACTTTGTTTACACATTTACCATAACTCAAAGCGTCTGTTTCAACAGTCAGCTATCTTTCTCCAGAATGACTGACCCCACCTTTAATCTGCCAATCTTCATGATAGACAGCTATGTAATATATATCTTATCAGATGGGGATCCCTGAGACTGCATCTGATTAAATATGCAAGTATCAATTTCAGGATTTTTGACATTTTATTGATCATAAGATTTATCGATTAATCAAGACAACAACATTTTGCTGATTAAAAAGTGCTCATATGATAAATACATTTATCATTTGAAATTAATTAATTAATTAATTATGATTATGAACAACTTTGATAATTGTTTAAGTCAGTTATCCAGCAAACATGTCAAGTGTTTGCTAGTTCTGTCTTCTAAAACATGAGGAACTGTTTTATATAATTGTAAAGGGAATGTCTTCTGGTTTGGGGCTGTTGGTCGGACAAAACCAGACAAATAATTATTAGATGCAGCGCTGCATAAATCTTATTTGTGTATGTTGTGTTGAATATGACACCCATAAACATCTCTCACTTTCACAGCCAGCACACAGGCCCGTCAGATATATGAGGATCTAAGCGCGCGTCCATTCTCCTCATTTCAGTCTATCCAAACTACAGGTCACAAACAGCTGTACGAAACATTCTCAGTTACCGGTATTTCCAAATATGCCCACACAGATAGCTGCTGTTAAATGTTTTCTTCGGTTTTTCAGTTCTGAAATAAGGTCAGACTTCCTGAATTAAATCTTTTTTCACTCCCTTTCAAACTGAACTGAAAGTCAACGCCGGCCAGATGACACATTCGCGTTTCAGCTACAGTGTTTGTACTTTTCATTGTGTGAGAGAATAGAAGAGAAGAGAGGAGAGTGTTGCTGTCGGCACCTGTGATCAGTCAGCTGCCTGTGACTGTAGCAAGCAACCACTGGCACTGCTGATTTATGATGTTACTGGCTCTTGTGGCATGCAGCAACATGGCGTGGTTAAAAAGCCCCTATATCCTCGTCTCTCAAACCCTCAGTGTTGATCTCGCCTTCCCTTCATCTCTCGTTGCCTCATTTTCAGATCTCTCGTTTCAGTTTCCCCAGGCTGTCTTTATCTCCCTTGCCATTTCCTTTTTTCTTCTGTCCCGTCCATCTCTCTAGCAATGAAAAGCTACATTTTATATCATAGCTGAATTTATATGCTTAAAAACGCCTGAAAATCCAGGTACAAAGTGTTTCTGCACTCTTTCATTCTTTCTTTTTGTCTTCTGTCTCTTGTTCTACCCACATTTCAGTTCTCAGGGAGGAAAGAGGAGAAAACAGATATATCTCTCACAACCGGTTACACACACACAACACACACACACACACACACACACACACACACATTCTGCCCCACCCACACGTACAGAAATACAGGTGCATGCTCAGCACACCAATCCATGCAGGTTGACATGACTAATATGCAGTGATATATGATACATACAAGTGCTTACACATTGAAATAATCACCTTGCAGGTCATCTCTTTCTCAAATACACACGTATTCAAGGTCTTAACTTGTACTGTATAAGCATACCAGGTTTTTCTCTGCTTTTTGTTTCCAGCACTAAAGACACCAGCAGCAGGAGAACAGACGAGATACAACAATGTTTGGCAGGAGCTTAGACGATGCAGATTTTAGTTCCAGTTGTACTGTTAATTCGCCTCCGTGCCTGAGCAGGGCTGACAACTGGACACTGTATATGTACTGATCTTTTAATTTCTTAGTCGTTCTGCTTGCTCTTTGTTAGACAGATGGTGAATAGGGACCAGTTATGGTTTGAAAGCACGCTCAGCTTTACAGTGACTACTGCATAGGTCTAGATCAATAAAGCTATACAATGGCAGCCACGCTAGCTGCCCCCACACACACCCCTGCACTGCATCAGAGAGCAGAGGGTCACAGAAGCATTTTACAACATAGCCGGCCTCGCCATGGGATCAGACAACACATAATTTCTAATCAAAAATATGTTGATTTCATTAGCAGTTTTTTGTTTGCCACGCTACATGTCTAGGGTTATGAGTGTTGCCTGTAGGCACTGCTGATTTCTAAGCTGTCGTGAGCCAAAAAGGTTAAGAAGTACTGCAACACTCGCACTACTGGAAAAACTACATGTAAATACAGCCTGTAACTGGATTATTATATGGCTGTCGGCCTGTTATATTGTATTTACTGTTACTATGCAGAAGAAAGTCACAATCACTTGGAGGGTCAATTGGATTTGGGTCAGTTTGGCTACCCTGGATATTAATGGATTATTAAGACTATGATACAGTTATTGTATTATAGATTAAGGGTTTTTTAAGTGAGTTCAGGGGTTTTTCCCCATCAAAATGAAGTTTAATTTGCACATTTACTTGCTCCATTGATTTATTAGCCAGACTACTGAGTATGAATAGTGTCTAGGTGAGAGAATTTGGTATGTCTAGATTTATTTTATACTCACAGATCCAGCCTGTCAGTAGCAGATACACATTTAGCCTGCCATATGTCTATTTATTTGGAGCTGACTTTACCATGAGACAACCAAAGTTACTGGCCGTTTGTCACTTTTTTAAAATGATAGTCACTTCATGAGATACTGCTGTACAAGCCTTTTAGTGTAGACAATGAATATAAATTTGTGTGAGATGACATCAACAGCAAAACTGTCCCAGCTTGCGGGTGCTATCTTTGAGTGCCTGCTGCATGGACACCAGCTGAGTGAGTTGTTTCAGCTGCAGATTTTACTCCAAACAGACTCTCTTGACTGTGCTGACATATAAATTAATATCAACAGTGCGTGTTTCTGAGTAATTTGTGCTCTTCATTAAGATCTCAGTTGAATTATAGCCTGTCTACTAGTTGTTGTTTTGGGATGTTACACTGTAGGCCTGTTATTTTGTTTCTGTATGTGACAGCACTGCTATTTAGCCACCTGTCTAGACTGTCATGCTTCTCAATTACGTTTCCCTTTGTGAATAGTTGTCTCCGAATAGTTGACTGTAACTGGCAAGTATTATACTGGCTAACCATTATTGCATATTTCATGCCTTAAAATGCCCCCAATTTCGATAGCAGTTGGTAGATCTTTCACTGTCGCTTCACCTTTTAGCTCTTATGTGCATTAGATATAATAGACTAAGCTTTTCAATGTGGTTTAGTGCACAAAGCCTCTTTGCTGAGTGCTTTATGCTTTATAGATTTCCAAGTGCTGTCAATTATAGCTGCTTAGGTGTCAATTTTTTACGCTAGTCAGGTTTATGAGAGTCAAATGCTCGTCTGTGATGGTGGTGCAGTTAAAATATAAGTGCGAACACAGCTATGCAATGTAGAAAATCAGTATTTACCATGTGTCTGTTGTGTGGGTACAAATGTATGAAAAACGGGAACCTCGATTTAACATCGACACGACGTCTGTGCATTGCCGTCATAGCCTATATTAAGTTTGTGTCGTGCAGGTGTGATTCATGGCTTAAACTAATAGTAGTTTCAGGTGTGGTTGTCTCCAAGTTGGCAACATGTCACAACATGAGCAGTTTGCCTGATTTTTCCCTCTGACATAATGAAGTGTCTATATGGAACCTCCTGGTGGGAAACTGCCTGGAGCTATTATGCACAATTACATCACTCTTTACCTTTTAATCAGCTTATAAGATTATTCTATAAATTAAAACACACAAGTCCAATTAACCAAACAAGTCTTCAACTGAACAATAAGGATATATTAAAAGGTTCGTGTTTGCGGGAGTGACTGACGTGTGTGTGTGTCACTTATCGAGGCCTTTTTAATCAGATTAGACATGACTCAACGCTCATGGATCAGAGGACCCCTGCCTTCCGAAACATGAATCAACACATCCATCAATCACCAGGAGCAATTTTAAAGCAGCCTTCAAAGGTTCCATGATCTGTGTGCCGAAACAGATCAAATGACCAGATCAGTTGCACGATTATTGACTGGTAGTGATTTGTACACGAGCATCTTAAAAGGGCAATCCTCCCCGAGCCCCTAATTCACCGTTGTTATTCCTGTGACCTTGGACTCTCGAGCTGTTAGGGCATATAGTTTGGGCGGATATGAAGATCTCTCCCGAAGCGAGGGGGGAGAGAGAGAGAGAGAGAAAAGGGAGGGTGAGGAAAAAAGATCATAGCTGCAACTTTGATCTTTGATGATCATCATCAAGAGACACGGCCCGCAGCCTGTTGATGACATCACAGATTACAGTCTGTACAACCTCTCAGACTGCCTCTCAGATCCAGATTTAGGTGACCACAGTTACAGTGATTCAGCTTTAGGGTGGATGATCATTTATCATCACACCCTCCTCCTTCCTGCTCCACACCCAAACCCCCCGCCCTTCTTATTCCATAGCAGCACTACCTTGATGCCTTTTTCTAGAATAGCCCCTATCATTAGATGCATCTGTCACCTGTGTGTGAATCTGGCTGTGGGCATGCATGTGTGCACTTGAATATGTGTGTCAGTTGAGTTCCCTAAATGTGTGTGTGTGTGTGTGTGTGTGTGTGTGTGTGGCATGCATGTGATTTGTGTGTGTGTGAAGGCGAGCGCTCTCCGTAAAAGAAGCACAATGAAAGGGAAATATGTGTCATGTCCTTGCTAGCCCTCGAAGGAGAGAGAGATCTATTTCTGTCGCCACAAATGGAGGTGTTCAAGCAGCCTTCAATAGCAGAGATTTGCCTCTTCAAACACACACACACACACACACACACACACACACACACACACACACACACACACACACACACACACACACACACACACACACACACACACACACACACACACACACGGAGCTAGAGAAAAGGCTAACCATTCTTGTGTGTCAAGAGAGAGGCTGAGCGATATAAAAAGATAACAGAGTGAGAGAGAATTAAGAAAGGGACGGAGGAGGAGGAGACGGAAAAAGGGAGAGGAAGAGAGAGAGAGAGAGAAGGGGGAGGGGAGGAGAGGAGAGGAGAAAAGCAGAATAATGTACACTGAGTTCATAAATATTGAGACACACACACACACACACACACACACACACACACACACACACACACACACACACAGTTCCCACATAAAAGCAAAGTGCTAGTTGTTTACCTAGAGGCATGCCTTTGTTGAGGAGATGTGAGCTTCCCATGGTGTGTTCCCCAGCCGGCCAGCACACAACAGAAACCTACAGTCTTCACACAGCAGACATGAACAGGAATCCAGTCAGCATATGGCGGCTGTGGCCAGCTACCTCGCTTCCCTTAGTCCTTCTCCCAGCCCCTTAGTGACAAGCATACACATGTGCTCCCCCTCTTTTCTCTCTCTCTCTCTCTCCCCTCCCTTCCGTCCCCTTCGCACGCCCGCTCTCTCTATCTGTCTTACCCCTCCCTCCCTCCCTGCCGTCTCTAGCTAACTCCCTCTCCCCTTCCTTTCTCACTTTCTATTACAGCAAGTCTTTCTATCTCTCCCTCTGCCTCTGTCACCAGAAAACAAAAATGTGCACACACCGAATGAAAGCACTGCTGCATTTATGGGAGCGGGAGAACAAGAAAGTGTGTGTGTGTGTGTGTGTGTGTGTGTGTGTGTGTGTGTGTGTGTCTGTCTGTGAAAGTGTGTGTGTGAGAGAGAGAGAGAGAGAGAGAGAGAGAGAGAGAGAGAGAGAGAGAGAGAGAGAGAGAGCAGGAATGGGGAGGAGCTAACGCTGGCAAAAATTCATCTTTTGTTTCCTGAAAGACGACAGGGAGAAAAAAAGAAAAGACAGAAGAGTTATGCAATTACAATAGCAAAGGAGGAAAAACTTGTTCTTTCTGATATCAGGAAAACAATTACACAGCTCATAAAACTTGTTTAAAGAAAAAACATACTGTGGTTTTATAATTACTGTGTGTTTTTAATAAATAATCAACCAAACTTAATAGCTGGTTTTGTTCTTATAATTTTACTTTATAAGTTTACTTACACTGCAGCTATATACATCCAGATCTAAGATCCAGGTCTGTTGGTTTTCTTTAAGCACACCAAAACTTTAAAAAGTAATTTCAGTTTCTAATTACCTTTAAGTCCACACTTAAACTTATTACTAAATAATAAGTACTTTCTACAGGGGTAAATACTCTGTATTAGCACCCCATTTTCATATTTAACACTTACGCCAATGTGTGAATACGTGTGGGTGAATAATCTGATATTCTACTCAACCACCCGAGTAATTGCTACTGATCATATTCTAGTTTGATGTTTAAATACAAATCTTCATAGAGCTTTGTTAGTGTAAAACTCTTATTACTAATGTTAATATTGTTACAGAGTTGGACAAAGCTGTTGCTGACTATACTGATTAGTTTTTGTCGTTGATATGTAAAAGACTTGTACTTTAAAAATACTGTAGTGGAAACTGGCATAATATTAATATTTTCTTTGCACAAGCACATTATTGTGACTATTTCCAAAACTATGATTAAGGCAATAGTCTAATTAAGTCATATTTATGATCCCATAATTGAATCTGAGGGTTGTTTTGAGACACACTGACACACCATCTCATTACTTCCCAACAGTTTGACCCTAATTAATTTGGTCTCATTCTTATTTCCCATAAAAAATATATAATATCCAATTACTGTTTAATGAAAAAAGTAAAAAAAAGTAGTACAGCAAACAGGATAGTATAATCTATTATGAGGCACAGGCACTTTCATCTCAATGCTTTGGTCTGGTTAACACCTACTATGTACCTGCTCGCGCTCATTCTGTCCCTGCAGTGGTGATGTTACAGTTCGTCTCATCTACACTTGGTAACTAGATAAGCACAGTGATATGCGGCCTCAGACGCACCCATGACTGCCAGGGCCTAACCTAGTTTAACAGCAATGATGGTTACATCATGTCCTCACTATTGGTAAATGTCGCAGACAGCCAGTGGGCGAGCTGTTCAAATCCAAAACGAGGCGCAGGGGTCAGGGAAACAGTTGTTTTCAACACGGTCGGTAGGCTCGCTCATGACCTTTGTCATGAATGATCACCCCCACTATCCTCTTCAACCACTCAGCTGCTGGCTTCATTAAAAACACAATGATACAACACTACAAATTAAGTTTTATCTTTAAAGGAAAATGAGCAATGTGCCCCCCCCCTTAGTTTTTTGCAGTCGAGCAGGGTCGTACATAGGAATTCTGGCTCAGTGTAAAGAGCAGATAGCTCTTTGATAATAATAATAATAATAATAATAATAATAAATCTGAGTCAGAGAGCAGAGAAATATGAGGAATTATGCCTAACCAAAAGTCTGCAAGGGTACATGCAGTGTAGGGCTTATAGCAAAACCGCATTTGGCCTGTTTAGTGACTGCTGCTTGCTAGAGTGCTGCAGGCGAATACCACTGACAGCATAAGTCACTGTGACTCTAGGTGTGTTCATTTAACAATGTCCACACCAGATGGGGGAGTCACTGTGGAAGACGACATGACTCACTCATTCCTCAAAACAAGTAGTAAAACTAACATAACTGTGGAGGTGGAGACAAAACATGACAAATGAATCACACAACATTTTTGACCAGCTGCAGGTGACACCGGTTATATAGTGAATGTGGCTGTTTCAGTTCAGTTAAACAGCCTTTACACACTTAAGAGCCAACCCAAAGGCAGTGCTTCTTTTTGGGTCACAAACTCAGCTTTCTGTGTGCAAGAACATACAAATCTCGTTGTTTACTGCTCGCCTGACCCATGACACCCTCTGTAGATGCACACCCTAATGCCTAATTCACACAGCAGCACGTGGCAAAGGGGGAAGTTTCAAATCTGTAGCAGCCGTGGAGTGGGGAAGTGGTAAAACCCCTTATGTTTGTCATGCAAAAGTTGACTTGAAGTTGAATTGCAGCCATGGCGGCAGCCACTCTGAACAGACCTGAGCCTGTCCCTGGGTTTCAGACTTAAAAAAACACATTGGCTTGTTACTTCAAAAAGTCCAACAAAATTTGTTTTGGTAATATTTGAGGCAGGAAATACCGGTGTACTGAAGCATAAATAATCAAATCACAACATATACTTTGATAGTTTGCTATGAGATTTAGGAGCTTAGAGATTGAATTTTGCACTACATTGCAAAAAGTATCAACCACTTCAGCTGCCTAGTGTCTTGCCATAATAAGCATGATATACTGTATTTAACAAATGATGCTAATTTAAAGTTTAAACTGATCCAAATATCTCTATGTCACTATACTTGACGTGGATGGTATTGCTATGAGGTCCATGTCTTAAAGCATTAAATATTACGTGCGTGTATAACTAGGTGTGCAGGTCTGGCTTGAGTTCTCATACCAAATTCAAACTGACAACATGGAGTCAATAATGTGAGAAGCTACAGGCACATTCATCATGTTGACAGGGCCGATGGCAACTTCACTCCAACCACCTCTTAACCACGCCAAGAGACAAATGTTCCCCAGGAGATAAAGGAAATGGAAACATATTCGGTGCTTCTAAATAAGGATGGAGAGAGGAAACGACAGTGTGGGGAGACAGTATCTAGACGACACAGAGGAAGGGGAGAGAGAAGATGGGTGTTATATGTTCCTTAGATTACAAGTGATGATCAGCAGATTATTTAATGGTGCTCATGAGGGAAAAGGAGGAACAGAAGATGATGGGGTAGAAAAAAGATTTCACATCAACATTCACACGCGTTGTATGAGGGTGGACATACACCCTTTCATCTCCTCATCACTCCTCACCCACTCTCCCTCCCCATCTACCTTCCACCCCACCTCCCCTCAGTCTGCCTTTCTCCTCCCTCTCTCTACTCTCTCCGTAACTCCTGCTCTTCCATCTGCCCATCTTGCTTTCTATCTTCCATCCCAAATTTCCCTCTCAATATCATTCACACTCCATCACCCTCATTCCTGCATCTCTTTCACTCTCTTTTTCCATCTCTGCTTTGCTCACCATACATCCCCCCCCCCCCCCCCCCCCCCCCCCTCCTCTCTCTCTGTAGTCACTGCAGCGTGTCTAATGGTTCGCCTCCTCCTCAGCAGAAGTGGAGGCCAGGCGAGCAGCAGCCCCGACTAACGCCTCCCAACCGCTGGCCTTATCAAGACTGACAGCGAGTTAGACCCACAGCTAGCGCTAACGTACACACCAACACACATAATTACAAAGATACACGCCTGCACATGTACAAAGATACAAGCTTGTGCACAGAGAAATAAATGTACACCTGTGAGGGAAACTATACACATCACATGAACAATCATGTTTGAATATCTGTCTTGCGCATGTATTTGTAATCATGTTTAATTCTCATTATGGTTGATATGTAATATAATCATGTTTATTTCCTATTAAGTTTCTGAATCTTGTTGCTGATGCACACCTACACTATAGCTCTAAATGTAGCTTCAAAGAAACACATAGTGGCAGCCCCCCCCCCCACACACACACACACACACACAGCAAATTGGATTTATGGATACTGACAGTGAGCTGCAGAACAATGTGAATGCCACAACTGAGGAGATACAAGAGAAACTAGCAATCTAATCTACTATAGGAGGAGATGGGTGCTGCGGGCATGTACAGTCTAAGCCATGTGTGAGAGCAGGAGGGGAGGCAGAGAAGTGAAAGGAGGTGGAATACAGGAACAGGAGGAACAGGTTGTCAGAAAAGGCGAATGAGGGTAAGGTGAGGTGAGAGGTAGAAAAGAGAAAAGCAGTTAAACAAACAAGGAGGATTGCAAGGGAGTGGAGGACGAGGAGCAAGATAAGGAAAGAAAAAAGGAACGAATAAAGGAAGAAGAATCATTAATCTAACGGAACGATCTTAAGGCTAGAGATACTGTCTGACAGTTGGAAGGTGCTCACCTCCTTCGACGGAGAGAAAGAAAATCCCCTTAAAAACATCCAATATCAACTGTAATCCCCGGGTCTCATTTATATAAAGTGTTCTTTGAATTTACTTCAACATAATTTACCATGGCGCTCTTTATGGCTGCTACTACAACAGTATTTTATCAAATAATCTGCTGATTATTTTCTGGATTAGGTGCTGGGTTGATTAAATGTCAGAAAATAATAAAGAATGCCCAGCACACATTTCTAAAGCTCAAGGTGATTTCTTCATTAGTCTCGACCAGCAGTCCAAAAGCCAAAGGGAATTCAATTTAATATCCCTTAAGACTGAGAAAAATCCACACATTTGAGAAGCTGGAACAAGGTCATGTTTGGCAATTTTGCTTGAAAAATTACAAAGGATTAATAAATTAACAAAATAGTTGCCAAATAGGTGCTGCCAAGGCTTAGGAGTTGGGACGCTGTCACTGGTTCAGATCTGATCAGACCTTCAGACCTTTGTTGCGT